ATACAATTTAATGCAATAAAATAAACATTATAAAAAATAAGATGACCATTTCAGCCATGAAGTTCATTCAGTCGTGAGCTCCCCAAATTACTCTGTTAAAAATAATTTGATAACGGTTATGATCATTTTTATCAGCATAAACTCTACATATTTACAATTTTAAAAAATAAGTTTTACACTTTCTTACTCTATAAATTTTGTGAACTACTGCTTTCATCTTTGTGCCAGTAATGTTTTTCTAATTTTTGAACATAGGCACAATATTTTTTCCACTGATCTGCTTTAACCTCGTTGATTGCTTCTTGTGTAAACTGGTCTTGCTCATTACTTGTGAGCATGGAAGCATTTTCTCATAATTTTCATTTTATTTCAGCCTGGACTAACTGAATAGGGTTTAGTAGAGTGGTAATCTTAACATATTATAACCCTTTAATTTTTTAATTTCATCGACATTCAACATTTTTTCTGTGCTTTTATTTCCTTCAATTAATTCATATAGCTAATACTTCCTCATCGTTTTTTCATGTGAAATGTTCTTTTCCACCAACCAGTTCAACCATCTCCTTTTTCCTGCCATATTTTATTGGTGGCTTATTTAGTTGTATGCTATAATAAGGAGTGTTATCCATTACGATAATAGAATTGGAAGGTATATTAAGAATTACTTTTTCACACAATTACTTCACAACATTCACAGCATTCATCTGGCCATGATAGTCGTCAGTTGTTGTACAGGATTTAAACATTAATTTTACACCATCTATGAAATCATTACTTCCTCCTGTGCGGACGATAATAAATAAGTGCGAGGAACTGGGGTTTCTTAAAATGCCTAACGTGTCTTGGCTTTGTCAACACTTGCAAAAACTCAACATATTGTTCACCCACGCCTCATCAATATAATTTATGCTCTGATTCTTGTTTTTGTAATGTGTTATAGCTTTTAAATATTTGGCTCACAAAACTACAATACATAGTTTTTCAACTAAAACCTTTTGAGTACTATTCCTTCTTTTCTACTTATAGCCCATACGTTTCTTTACTTTTAGCCCTTTTTTCCAAGTATCTATTTCTCCATATATGGCCGGCAATAGTTCCGGAACTGTCGGTACAATTTTTTTCTCTACATAAAATTCATGTATAATATTTCTTATTATTTGTTGGTCCTCAACGGGGCAATGAAATTTTTTGCTGGCGCCCTTGGGCGTTTTTTCCCTAGCGATGTTAAAGCATTCTCTGCTCCAAAGATTGAATCTTTCTTCCGAATCCAAGTTACCAATGAAATGGATATATCAGCATACTCCGTGTCACGATGTTATTATACACCGTAAAGAAGTTGCCCATGAGAAAGTATGTTTACCGTGAAGCTTCTTCAATTTCTCGATCTGTATATGCATAAGTACATAACACATACTTAAGGAGGGTGGATTCACATGAGTATTACAAAATGTAGACCTTATGGCTGGTTCGCATGAGTTATGGGGCTTGGACGTGACATAAGAAGTTATTTTTCAATTTAAAAATTTATTATTTTTTTCATTATTAAGTACGTTAATTCTGTAACTATAAGAATATGTTAAGTATAATACGAAGCAGAAGCATTTTGCACATAGTAAAACAATTTTTTTCCTAATTATACTTATAATAAGATGATAAATTAATATAAATATAAAATCCTGTTTGTAAATTAAAAATAGCTATGTATCCGATTTATTGATTAATTAAAAAATTGTGACACTAGAAATTTTGATAAATAATGTCTTTATATGCATAACTTGTATGTATGTTAAAAATTACTTGAAGATTCTTTCAATAGTACTTGCTTCAATGGTGCAATTTCACGCTAATTCGAATACCTTGAACGAAACAATCGAGAAATAAGTGAGAATATGTATATATTATCAAAAATTTTAATCACAATGGCAAGTGCTAGAGGATTCGTAAAAAATGTTTATAAGGACCCCTTTAAATGGTATGTTTAATAATAAATTTTCTTCGTTTTGTGTATAACCTTATAGTTACATTTTATGTGTATCTGACCGCGTGTAGAGTAATATAATGCTTTTTGTAAAATTCGATTATTGTATTTATATAAGTAAATAATAATGAAATTCATTCAAATAATATTTATGCACCTTTTTTATTTACAGGTCAGTAATAAAGAGTATTGGAATATTTGTATTAGGCATAAAGATTGCACTTGAGTGTCAAGGAATGAATTTAATGCCACCCATTTCTTAAAAATTGAAACATATAAACCAAAACTATAAACATTATTTATCTGTTTAAATTTGTTCGATTGTACATATGCACATATATTTTATTTCTTTCATGTAAAAAATAATCTTAAAGAAAAGCAAAGCATTTATACATGTTTTTACTAATTTCATTTTTTCTCAATTGCAAATATTAAAACTATAAACATGTAATTACTCACAATAGCATTTGTAATAATGTGTAAAATGTATTAATAAATGTGTTTCTTCTCCTTAATTAAATACCATTACATGTATTCTGTACACATAAATTATATATTATTATAATGTTTTTA